CAAAGTCCGTATTGAGTCCAATCTGGCGACTGGCGCAAACGCTTCTTGATAATCTACGCCTTCCCGTTGCGTATGTCCTCTGACGACCAATCTTGCCTTAAATTTTTCGATTTCTCCTTTTTGATTAACTTTAGTTTTGAAAATCCATCGATTTGATAGAACTTTTCTTCCTTCCGGCCTTGGTACTAAGATCCACGTTGCATTCTCTTGTAGGCTCTTGTATTCGCAATCCATCGCTGCTAGTCATGCCTCTTTGTTTCGATCCAGTGCTTCCGAAATAGTTTGGGGATCCTGATTCATCGTATTATTGGCTTGATAGATTTTTTTCGGCCTACCACGCTGACCTGTGCGTAGTAACTTCGGTCGTCCTCGACCTCGGTGCGGTTCACTGATGTCGCCGGTTTCTTCTGGATCGTCTTCTTGATCACCGATCTCCGCTTCAGATTCTTCGGAATTGCAATCTTCGCTGGGTGAGTCGGGCAGCTGTAATCCTAAGACGTTTGAGTCTTCAACCTTGTCTTCCAGTACATCGAATCTGACTCCATCCAGCGTATCACTTGAATTTCGCTTCTCGAAAAATTTCACATCTCGGGCTTTGACGACAGTCCTTGTTCCTTGCTTCCAAAGACGATACGCCTTCGACTCTTGCGAGTATCCGACTAAGATATATTCATCGCCTTTTGGTTGGAATTTTCCTCGTTTGTGTGATTTATCCAACATTATTTCTTTAGCTCCAATGACTCTAAAGAATCCAACATATGGTTTTCGCTTAGACCACGCTTCGTAGGGTGTCTTTCCATTTAATAATTTCGTCGCACATCTGTTTCGCAGAAACGTAGCTGAGTTTATAGCTTCGGCCCATAATGATTGTGGAAGATTACCTTGCAACATTATGCATCTTGCCATCTCGACAAGCGTTCGGTTTTTTCGTTCCGCGACTCCGTTTTGCTGGGGCGTGTATTCCACAGTCAATTGATGGATGATTCCTTCAGTTTTCAGGAAATTCTTGAAATTATTTGAGATATATTCTCTCCCGTTATCCGTGCGAAGTTTTCTGATTTGTAGTCCTGTCTGCTTCTCGACCTTCCGTTTATAGTCCTTGAAAGCGTCTAGAACTTCCGAGCGGTTACGTAACATTATAGTTTCCGTATATCCTGTGCAGTCGTCTGTGAAGGTTACAAAATATTTAGCACCTCCTAAAGATTCGACGTTCATCGGACCACAAATGTCCGAATGTATCAGATTTAATACTTCTCGTTCACGGTGAGCAGAATTTTTGAATGGTTGGACATGTATTTTGCATCTGGCACATACCTCGCAATTAATTTCGTTTGACTTGAATTTGACATTCATACCGTCGACCATTTCTTCCGTCTTCATTTTCTTGAGATCGTTGACATTCACGT